TCAGCCAGAGGGGGTCTTCGCAGGATCCTGCAGGATCTGGTGCCCTGGCTGACCCCCGTTTGCATTGACCCCCGTCTCAAGGCTCCCGACCAGCTCCCGTCCCTGCTGTGCCAGTGCCTCACTCTTCCCTCCCCCTGCCCACAGGGGCGACATCTCCTGCTCCGTCGGTGGTGGCCATGTTCCCGTCTGCCCACTGGTGGTCCGAGGAAGCCTGCGATGCCAGGTGCGCAAGACTTCGGCTTCCACGGCCACTCGCACGGAGTGGCTGTCCACCCCGCGCTCCACATTGGAGGCGGCAGGGGGGCAGAGGGCGTTTAGATCACCTCGGGAGTCTCAAGTCCACCTCGGGGGGTGGGCACTCCTCCGCACGAGTAGATGTTTCGCAAAGTTTCTCGAGTTTGGCGTTGTGGTCGGTGCGGGCCCGGCGAATTCGCTCGTTGGCCGCTGCGCGTGACCCCTCCGGAGTCACCAAGCAGTGGGGCGGGAGCGGGCACGTCGCGTCTGCTTCATCTGACATTGTTCTGGAGCCCGGTGCTTCGATATTCCCTCCTCGCCCCCTACTCCTCGTTCCCTCCTGCTCCCCCCTTCTCTTCTCCTCCCTCCTCCCTCCCTCCCTCCCTCCTCCCCTCCCTCCTCCCTCCCTCCTCCTCCCCCTCCCTCCCTCCCTCCTCCTCCTCCCCCCTCCCTGTGCGGTGACGCTCGGCAAGCCCTGGCGTGGCTGACATAGATCCAGCGGGGCGGTTGTTCTTCCACGCTATGGTGCGAACGCGGCCCCAAGGGTCGGAGTCGCAACCGCAGGTCCTGTGTGCAAGGCCGATTCCCTCCTCCCTCCTCCTCCTCCCTCCCTCCCTCCCTCATCCCTCTTCCCCCTCCTCCTCCCTCTTCCTTCCTCCATCCCTCCTCCCTGTTCCCTCCCCTCTCCCTCTCCCTCCCTCCTCCCCCCTCCCTCCTCCCTCACTCCCTCCTCCCTCCTCCCCCTCCTCCCTCCCTCCCCCCCCCCCCCCCCTGTCCCCTTTCGCTCCGCCGCCCGTGCCCGCGGCCCCCCCGCGGGCGCGGGGCTCCACGACGGCGCCCGTCAGCGAGAGGGCCTCGGAGCGCCGCGGGAGCCGGGCACGCCAGGGGAGGGAGGGAGGAGGCAGGGAGGAGGCAGGGAGGGCAAGAGGCAGGGAGGAGGCAGGACGGAGGAGGGAAAGAAGCGCAAGAGCAGGATGGGGGGGGGGGGAGGAGGAGGGAGGAGGGAGGCGGGAGGAGGGAGGAGGAGGAGGGAGGAGGTCGAGGAGGAGGAGGAGGAGGAGGAGGAGGAGGAGGAGGGAGGAGGAGGAAAGGGAGGAGGAACAGCGGGGGTGAGGAGGAGGAGGAGGAGGAGGAGGAGGAGGAGGAGGAGGAGGAGGAGATGGGAGGACGAGGAGGAGGAGGAGGAGGAGGAAGGAGGTGGAGGAAAGGAGGAAAAGGAAAGAGGAGAAAGAGGGAGGAGGGACGAGGACGAGGCGAGGAGGAGGAGGAGGAGGAGGAGGAGGAGGAAGAGGAAGAGGAAGAGGAAGAGGAGGAGGAGGAGGAGGAGGAGGAGGAGGAGGAGGAAGGAGGAGAAGCAGTCGGAGGAGGAGGAACAGGGAGGAAGAACAGGGAGGAGGGAGGAGGAACAGGGAGGAGGAGCAGGGAGGAGGAACAGGGAGGAGGAACGAGGACGAGGCGACGAGAAGGAGGAGGGGGAGGAGGAGGGGAAGGTGGAGCAGGGTGGACACAGGCCTCCTTTCCCGGCGGACTGTGGCTCGCCGCCTGCGGCCACCGCCCGGAGGCCCTCCGGGGGGCCCGGGGCCGCTCCCGGGAGAAGAGTGAGAACCGCTCCCGCGGAAGGGAGAGACACTTGGGGACGAAGAGCCGCTCCGAAGGAAGGGGGCCAGACATCTTTGAAGGGGCCCTGGGACACACGCACACACACACACACACACATATATATATATACACACAAATAAGACGACTCCCCATATATTTTCTTATATTTTCTGGGTTTTTGTCTTCCCCCCCACTTCCCATATTTTCGCATATTTTCTGGGGAATCGACGATTAATTGTGTCTGTGTGTTTTTTTCCCTCCTGAAACTCGGGGTCGATCTGGCGAACACACACAGACACTGGCGGCGCGTGCGACGGGGTGATTCGGGGAGGGGGGGGGAAGGCTTCTTGGGAGGAGGCTGCTTCTGGGAGGCCCCTTCCCCCCTAACCCCCCGTGCCCCCCTGTTCTGCGCGTCGCCGAACACAGACATCACGACGCTTCCGGGTGGGAAACCGGCGGCCTGGACACGAGTCACCACGCCGTCGTGGGCATCCCTCCCCCGCTCCCTTCCTCGCTGACCCTCCTGCTCCTGCTCCCTCCTCCTCCTCCTCCTTCTCCTCCTCCTCCTCCTCCTCGTCATCCTCCTCGTCCTTCTCCTCATCCTCGTGCTTCCAATGAGGGAAAACCTCCTCTTCCCTTGCGTCCTCCTCCCTGCTTCCGTCCTCTGTCGCCTCCGGCCCAGTCCCTCGTAGTCCTTCTCTTGCTTCTTCTGCTCCTGCACCTGCTCCTCCTCCTCCTCCTCCTCCTCCTTTGTCGCCTCCTCCTCCTCCTCTTCCTCCTCCTCCTTCTCCTCTTCCTCCTCCTCCTCCTCCTCCTCCTCCTCCTCCTGCTGCTCCTCCTCCTCCTCCGGTTGCTCCTCCTCCTCCTCCTCCTCCTCCTCCTCCTCCTCCTCCTCCTCCTTTTCCTCCACCTCCTCCACCTCCTCCTCCTTCTCCTGTTCCTTCTCCTCCTGTTCCTTCTCCTCCTTCTCCTCCTCCTTCCCCCCCTAGTCTCCTGCGGTCTACGCGGCAGGCGGGCCTCGCCCCCTTCGTGGGTCAAAGGTGCCCATTGGCCTGCGGCGCGGGGATCGGAAGGACACGATGAGGAGGAGACCAGGAGGAGGACAAGAAGGAGGAGGACAGGAAGGAGTAGGACAAGGAGGAGGTGGGAGGGAATGAGGGGGGGAGGAGTGAGCAGATGGACCAGGACGGGAGTAGAGAGCAGATGGACCAGGACGGGGGAGGTGGAGGATGAGTATGCGAAAGATGTGGGAGAGGGGGAAGGATAGCATACAGCATTTGAAGGAAGAGGAGGCGGGGAGAGAGAAGGATGCTGATAATAGGGGCGAAGAAGGACGGAGAAGAAGGAGGAGGAGGAGGAGGAGGAGGAGTGCACACCAGAGGGCGAGAGGGGCGGGGTTGGATCATTTCGGATCTCACTTGAGTCCGTGGGCACGGCCTCTTCGGCTAGACTGACCGGGCGAAAGGCGACCCCTGGAGAGGCGCTGTCCTGCCCCAGCCCCCGGCCACCGCGGAAAGGCCCGAGAGGGGGAAGAGGATGGGCAAGGAGGAGGAGGAGGAGGAAGAAGATGATAGTCAGGAGGGACATGAGGAGGACGAGGAGGAGGAGAATGAGGAGGAGGAGGGAGATGTCAGGGGAGAGGGGCGAGCAGGGGAGAGAGGCTGGATGCGCCCGCGCCGTATCCAACATCCGACCCCTCCCAGCCATCCCTCTTCATCCCCGCACGGCGGTCGTAGGACTTGATAAGGTGCTCTGCGCGATCGTCGAGACATGAGGGGGAGGAGGAAAAGGAATATGGGAAGGAGCAGCAACAGCAGCCTGGAGGGTGGACGAGGGGAAAGGGAGGGGGGGAAAAAGGGCGACGACGAGGAAGGACTCGGGTCCAGAAGTGTGTGCGGCCGGCGCCGGGGACGGCGCCGGCCCGAGACGGCGGAAGCAGCGCCAGCCCAAACGACGGAGGCAGCGCGTCATCACCACGCCCTGGCATGATGCGGGCCCAAATGCGGTTTCACGGAGCTGGTCGGGCGTGTACTCCATCGAGTTGATCCTCGAGCACTGGAGCACTCTTGAGCCAACAGCGGCTACGGGATCAGCAGGCGGAGGACCGCGATAGGGGAACAAGCAACGAACAAGAGCATAACGGCTCGGAGCTCCGCGCGGTCCTTGCCAGATCGGCGCGGGACTCCGAGCCATTGCGTTTGTGGCATTGCTTGCTTGGCTTACCACGATGAAGACGCCAAGACGCCAAGCACGAACGTCCGCACAAGACGCCGAGACGAACGTTAGCTAGCACAAGCTCGCAAGGAACGCCAAGACGAACGTCAGCACAAGACGCTAACACGAGCGTTAGCACGCGACGCCAAGACGAACGTTGACATAAGCCAAGACGAACGCTATGTATTCTCGCAGGGAACGCCAAGACGAACGACAGTATAAGCTCGCACAGCACGGCGGACAACGCCAGGGCGGCGTCCTCGCAGAGCTCGCAACGAGGCGGACATCCAGGAAATCTTGTCACGCCCTGGCCGGCCCCCCCCCCCCCTCGAGGAGGAGGAGGAGGAGGAGGAGGAGGAGGAGACAGGAGGAGGAGGAGGAGCAGGAGGAGGAGGAGGAGGAGTAGAACGAGGAGGAGGAGGAGGAGGACGAGGAGGAGGAGGACGAGGAGGAGGAGAGAGGAGGAGGAGGAGGAGGAGGAGGAGGAGGAGGAGGAGGAGAATGAGATTCCTCCTAGCCCTGATTCCCGCCTCATGTAGCACGTGCCTGCAAGCTTCCAGCCTCTCCTCCCGCTCGACCGCTGGGTACACCTCCCTGGGGATCTCCGCCGCCTCCTCCTCGAGCTCCGCTGCCCCGAAGAGCCAGGCAGGCGCCGAGAGTTGCGCATCCGAGGTCGGCGCTCACCGAGGCCAAGAGAAACCAGGGCGTGATCACCGCACCAGCTCGGGTCTCCACCCCCTACCACCCCCGTCGTAAGGTGTCAGCCTCTACGACCCGCAAGGGAACCAGTGACGCATATGCGGTCGAATCTCGCCACGGGAGTAGCATGCTGACCCACCTCCTCCTGTTGTGTAAGAAGATATTGCTAGTCTTCACAAGATTTAGAATAGTATGCCAGCCACACAACTCGGACACCACGAGAAATAGCATGAGAGGTTCCGTCCCTATACTGCCTAGACCCTGTTGTGGCGTAGTAGCTGGCCGCCTGCAATGATGCGCACAGCCTCGCACTGCTCAAGCAGATGGGCCCGAATCTGTCGAAGCAGGTCACGCTTAGCAGGACTGGGGTGCGAGGAGAAAATCTGAAGGCTGCAAGCCTGCCAGACGCCAACAGGACAACGGACAGCGAATATGACAACAGCAACTGATGGTGCCAAACTGCTGGGCAAATTCTGGCGATAGAGAAAGCAAAAGATCACCTGCCCGCGCTTCATCACAGAAACGTCCACAACAAATGTGGCGCGGGAGATCTCTCTGAACTGATGCCGTGTCCCCGTCCGAGCCGTGCACCCACTGAAGACAGAAGATGTCATTCAAGCCGATCAATCGACGAAGCTTGGAACACGTGATCTCCTGAACTCCGTGCTCCCCATGAACACTCCCAAGGAGAGCTTTCGCATTCCAAGAAAATCCGAAAACGGTCTGGGTTAAAAATACGGCGATCTGGTCTCAACGTCGGAAGTGTCCTCATAATCCCCATCCTATGGAAAGCTCACTCGGGACATGATCGGCGCGGCCCCCTGCGTGGACATGCTGGAGTTGCCAAGGTCAGCGTCGGATGGTGTGATGTGGTAGGACTGGCCGGCCTCCCCAACCTTGAAGATCTCGCACGCCGCGGCGGCGCTCGAGATGCACACGGTGCCCGTCGTTGTACACGTTGGTGCTAAACGCTGATACGCAGTCTGCCCTCAAGCGGCGTTCAATCAAGCGCTGCTTTGTCATCTTCCATCAGTGAGAGAAAACGGACCCATGTTTCCGAACTTCGAGTGGCCTGTGGAAACCATCACGGACCTGATAGACAGGCTTACCTCGCGGGTCCGCCCAGTCGAACGTGATGAAGGTGATGGAGACATGTTAGAAGTTGCACTGCAATGTTGATAGGAAAGATGAGGTAATTGGAGAAAAAACATGATACGGAGATCTAGCTTGACACTCTGATTGATGGAATCGTGTACGATGTGGCACATGCAGTGGCACGTGAACTGAGACGCGATGAGCGTTCTGGAAAAAAACTCGAAACCAAACTTTGAAATCCTCATCACCGTTGGAACTAGAAGTGCCGCCACGTTCTGTCTGAGCGCCACTCTGCCTCCCAGAAGAAGGCGATGGGATAGGAGAGGACTCGCGAAGCTGCTACAAGTGATCGGAAATAGCATAGATGTGGGCCTTGACTGCCCTCACTGATTGGTTGATGGGCTCAGATTTGCAGTGCTCCAATTTCTGTGACTCTAGAGTGTGAGTGTTTGAAGATGTGGACGTGCGTGTTGATAGATTTGCGAATATTGTTCAACTCAACCTCGAAGGACTGCTCCATGTGCTCGATTCTCTGGATGGTGTCCGTGACCTTGCCAATGAGGTCCTGCAACCAGCTCGGGGGGACGGTCAGGCGTAGGACACTTAGAGCTCGTACGGCTCTCGTCTCTCGGGCCGAGACTGCATTCAAAAGGCGCATGGTGAGCAGGGAAGAGGAAGAGAAGGAGGAGGAGAGGAGGAGGAGGAGCAGCAGCAGGAGGAGGAGCAAGAGGAGGAGGAGCAAGAGGAGGAGGAGGAGGAGGAGGAGGAGGAGGAGGAGGAGGAGGAGGAGGAGGGGCGTGGGGTGCAGGGAGGTGGGAGAAACAAAAGGAGGACCGAGGGAGGCGAGGAGGGCCAATGCAGAGGGAGGAGAGCCTCCGCCCTGCCCCGCAGGGCGTGGGCCTCTGTGAACCACCAGGTGGATACAGTACTCCGGCCCGTCGCCCTGCGCAGGCTCGAACCGCAGCGCCTCCTGGGGGAGGCCCTCCCTGCGCCTCCGCCGCCCCCATCCGCCCCCGCCCCCCCCCTCTCGAGTGACCTCGACCTCCTCGTCCCTAACCTCGACCTCTTCTCCATCTCCTGCCTCGGTCTTCCCACGCCTCCCTCTCTTCCTGCTCATGGCTTGTCCTCGGGAGCAGAAACAGCTGGAGGAGGAGCAGCAGCAGCAGGAAGAGGAGTGAAAAGGAGGAGGAGGAGATGGGGGAAAAGGAAGACAAGAAGAAGTGACCGTAGCTGAGAGCGCGAGCGCCCCTACGAGCGACAGGCTGCCGGAACAATGGGACACGCGACTCGGACAGCGACGCAGCCAGGGCATGAGGCGCCGGGTCGAAGGCCAACTTCTGCTTGCTTGTTGTGAATATGGAAGGCCAACGCAACAGGAGGAGAAGGAGGGGGAGGAGCAGCAGCAGTAGCGGGAGGAGGGGGGAGCGGAAGAGGGGGAGAGGAGGGGAGTGGGGGGGAAGAAATGGGAAGAGGGGGGGGGAACGCGGAAGATCAGAGGAAGAAAGTGCGGACAGAGATTCAGAGCTCCAACGCCGCATTTTAGTCCACAGCGTGGACCCCCATTGGTCTGGAACCCTTCCATCCCGCAGGCAGTTTACTGGTGGGCCCGGTCCCTTGAGCAAGGGCCCCCGATGTCCGCTGAGAACTATCCAAAACCATTCGTCGTGTTTCTGGTGACAACTCGAGGATGTCTGCGAAGAGAAAACTGTTGGTTGGCGCCCTCCATGGGCTGTGAATCGGTGCTGCGGGGACGGCGACCAGAGCAGCCGGGAAGGGAGGCCTTCCTCGGCTCAACTTGCTCAGCCTCCGCGTCCAGCCCCCCGGTGGCCGCTGACAGCTTTCGAAAACCCTTCGTCGTGGCTTCGGTGACAACGCGGGGATGTCTGGGGAGAGAGGGGATGAACTGAGCCGCCCCGATAGGCAACGCGCAATCCGCAGCGTGCTGACACGGAGCTCCACACGCAGATTGAAAACGTACGTCCGGCGCGATACGGTCACCAAAACGTGGGCCAACACTTTCTTTACCCTCCAGCGAAGCCCAGTGGCACAGGAGGACACAGACGAGGAGGAGGAGGAGGAGGAGAAGGAGGAGGAGGAGGAGGAGGAGGAGGAGGGGAGGAGGAGGAGGAGGAGGAGGAAAAGGAGAAGGAGGAGGAGGAGGAGGAGGAGGAGGGGGAGGGGAGGAGGAGGAGGAGGAGGAGGAGGAGGAGGAGGAGGAGGGAGAGGAGGAGGAGGAGGAGGAGGAGGGGAGGAGGGGGGAGGAGGAAGAGGAGGAGGAGGAGGAGGAGGAGGAGGAGGAGGAGGAGGGGGAGGAGGAGGGGGAAGGGGCCCGGGGAACAAAAAAGCCACCTCCGGCGAACTATAGTGCGGCAGGCCGGGGCGCCCCTGCGGCCAACGCGGCGGGCCGCCGCGCGCCCCCCGGCCAACGCGGTGAGCCAACACGCGGCACGTGAGCACGGACGTGCTGGACACGCACGTGCTGCGCTGCGCAGCACGGGCGTCGCAGCCCAGGGGGGAGGAGCCCGCGGCGGCGGCGGCTCGGAGGGGGGCACGCCGGTTACACAGGAGGAGGAGGAGGAGGAGGAGGAGGCGGAGGAGGAGGAGGGAGGAGGAGGAGGAGGAGGAGGAGAGGAGGAGGAGGAGGAGGAGGAGGAGGAGGAGGAGAGGAGGCGGGGGAAAAGGAGGAGGAGGAGGAGGAGGAGGAGGAGGAGGGGGAGGAGGGGGAAAAGGAGGAGGATCAGAAGAGGGAAAAGGAGGAGGAGGAGGAGGAGGAGGAGGAGGAGGAGGAGGAGGAGGAGGGAGCAGGAGGAGGAACTCGGAGGTCCGCGCGGACTTCTCGGATCGGCGCTGGACCCCCCTGGCGGCGCCTCCGGCGCCGCCCCTGGCGCGCTCCGCGCGCCATTGAGGGGGTCCAGCGCAGATCCGAGAATTCCGCGCGGACCTCCGAGTTTGTATGTTTATGTCATTGCCCGTTCCCCTACAGATCTTGAAGCAACACGTGCAATGTACCATCGCTCGGACGTGCATTCCCCGTGCATTTGTCGGTTTCGTGCGCGTTTTTTGGTTGGAGGGGTCAGATAAGCCACGTTGCTCCTCGTTTGTCCTCGCCGAGAAAGACATGAAACACGTCCGCGCGATGCCAAGAGAATAACTCTGAGCGTGCGGTCGCCTCGTTGGCCTCTGGAGGCCTGTAAGGGCCCTCGGCGACCTCCATGGAGCTATGCCGCTCCGTGCCTTTGCTCCCCCAATCACGGCATCCCCCCCGATTCTGGCAGCCCGAACCGTGCGCTGGTGGTCCCAGGATCGCCGTGGAACCGCTTCGGGAGGACCTCGGAGCGCTCTGAGGCGAATCCTGTTGCTTGCCATCGCTCGGACGCCCATTCCCTGTGCATTTGTCGGTTTCGCGCGTGATTTTTTTGCTCGATGGTCCAGGATGGTCCTCGATGGTTCTCGCCGAGAAAATATTGCACACGTCCGAGCGACGCCAGGGTTGAGCTTCAGCTGTCGGAGCGCCTGGCTCGCCCAGAGCTGGCTGCAAGCAAAACGTGCTGGGAGCTCCAGCAGCTCGAGCTGCAGAGCCGGTCCACTTCTGTCAGGGGGGGGGGGGGGGGAAACGCAGACACAATTCATTGTCGAAACCCAGGAACATGTGGGAAAATATGGGAAGTGGGGGAGAAGACAATTATCCTGGCGAAGGACCCAACCATATGCAGTTGTGGGTACCGCAATTGTGAACATCTTCTTCGGTGAAACTCCCGATGGGGCCACGAAGCGCTGCACTGGGTGGGGGGGAACGCTGTTCTGGGTGAGTGGTGTGTCAAGTAAGGTTTCCGGGACGCATGCGGACGGTTCCACTGGGGGCTTCGGTGGAGTTCCCTATGGGGCCACGAAACGCTGTACTGGGTAAGTGAAAATGCCAAATTGGGCTTTCGGGACGCATGCGGACGGTCCCACTGGAGGCTTCGGTGGCAATCCCTATGGGGCCACGAAGCGCTGTACTGAGTAAGTGAAAATGCCAAATTGGGCTTCCGGGACGCATGCGGACGGTCCCACTGGGGGCTTCGGTGGAGCTCGCTAAGGGGCCACGAAACGCTGTATTGGGTGGGTAAAAATACCACGTTGGGTTTTCGGGACGCATGTGGACGGTGGCACTGGGGCCTTCGGTGGAGCTCCCTACGGGGCCACGAAATTCTGGACTGGGTGGGTGAAAACGCCACAATGGGTGTTTCGGGGCGCTTGCGGACGGTCCCACTGGGGCTCCCTATGGAGCCACGAAGCGCTGTACTGAGTGGGGGGACGCATGTGGACGGTGGCACTGGGGCCTTCGGTGGAGCTCCCTATGGGGCCACGAAGCGCTGTACTGAGGGGGGGGGACGCATGTGGACGGTGGCACTGGGGCCTTCGGTGGAGCTCCGCATGGGGCCACGAAACGCTGTACTCAGTGGGGGGGCGCATGTGGACGGTGGCACTGGGGCCTTCAGTGGAGCTCCCTATGGGGCCACGAAACGCTGTACTGAGTGTGGGGGACGCATGTGGACGGTGGCGCTGGGGCCTTCGGTGGAGCTCCCTATGGGGCCACGAAGCGCAGTACTGAGTGGGGGGGACGCATGTGGACGGTGGCACTGGGGCCTTCGGTGGAGCTCCCTATGGGGCTACGAAGCGCTGTACTTGGTGGGTGAAACGCAGGGAGGAAGGAGGAGGGGGAGGAGGAGGAGAGGAGGTACGCGGGGACCGTCTCTTCAAAACGAGGACCCAACACCACATAATGGTTGGGAAAAACACAGAAAAGATTGGAAAATATGGGGAAGCTTGGGATTTGTGTGCATTTATTTGTGCGTCCCTGGGCCCCTTGGTTCTGGGCTTGCCGCGGCAGTCGGCGAGGAAGACAGGGGGGCGTGCCCAGGGACGTGCCGCGCGGCGTGGCCAGGTGGACCCGGGGGTGCACGCGCCAAGGAAGGCGCCAATAATGGATGCGACGTGGGACGCGACGCTTCTTGTTCCAGCTCGGGAGACGAAATCGCCCCGCGGCTAATTAAGGAAAGAGAGAGAGGAGAGCAGCGGGGAGGATGTCGTGGCTCGCGTCATTTTGGGCGTGGTGCCGGGAGGCGCTCCGAGGGCCAAGGGGGGCGTGCCGTGGGGCGTGCCGTGGGGCGCGCGCCGGTGGACGTGCCGGGGAGCGGTCCACGGACGCGCCCGGGGGGCGCGCTGGGGGGACGCGCCGCAGCAGTGCCAGTCGGGAGCGGCCAAGAGGGGGGTGTCCAAGAGGACACCCCCCTCTTGGACACCCCCCTCCTTGGCCGCTCCCGACTGGCACCCTCGTGGGCACCCCCTCGTGGCCCACGCCATAATATCACGCCCCTCGTGGGCACCCCCTCGTGGCCCACGCCACGATATCCCCCCCCCCGAGTCATCCCCCCCCCTCATTTGCCGCCCTCGCGAGCCAGGGGCCGCGCCGAAGGACGTGCTGGGACGCGTGATCCGGGACGCGCCGGGCAGCACGCCGAGGGAGCGTCAGAGTGCCAAGGGGCGGGCCAGGGGGCAGCCCACCCTGCCCATTAGGACTCCCCCTCGGCCACCAGGGGCGCCCCCTGTCGTCGTCTCCAGTGGTAAAGGGGCCCTTACGGTTAGCGGTGACTGCCTCCCGCGATCTCCCGCGATCCCGGATACCAATTACGCTGGATCCTCACTCCCAAGGCCAGGCCCCCTCGTCAGTGAAACCTGGCTCCGCGCGCTCCCACGGCCCGGCAGCGCTGGCGCTCCCGGAGCAGCACCCCTTTCGCAAGTCATGCTGCTCCGCGCTCCCGTGGCAAGGATCCCTCGCAGATTACCTCGGGCCCGCGCTCCCAGAAGCCGCCTCGGGCCTCCTGGGGCGTCCAGGTGCCCGCTGGGGCCTCCCGGGGCAGCCACGCCCCCTGGAGCTCGTCGAGGGCGCCCCGGGGTCTGCGCGGCTGGGCGCGCCGTCCTCGAGCGGGCACGCGCGCACAGAAAGCCACGCTCTGCTTCGCAACAGGTGGAACACCAGCGCAACACGGTGCCTACATAGATGCACGCGCACACACACACACACTGACACACTGACACACTCATGCAGACATACATACACGCAAACACACATGTACAGACAGACAGACAGACAGACAGACAGACAGACAGACAGACAGACAGACAGACAGACAGACAGACAGACAGGCAGACAAATATACATACACACGTACATGCATGCAACCATACATACAAACATACATACATACATACATACAGACATGCATAAATATATACATACATACATACATACATGTCATAAATACACACATACAAACATATATACATGTATACATGCATACATGCATACATCCATACATACACACATACATACATACATACATACATACACACATACACACGTACATACATAAATGCATGTATGCATACACTCATCCATACATACATACATACATACAAACATACATACTTACTTACATACATACACACATACATGCATACATGCATGCATACATGCACGCATGCATGCATGCATGCATGCATGTATACATATATATATATACGTGAATATATACGTATGTCTATGTACACATACATACATACATACATACATACATGCATACATACATACATTCATACATACATGCATATATACATACATACATACATACATACATACATACATATATACATACATACATACACACATACATACACACATACATACATACATACATACATACACACATACATGCATGCATGCATGCATGCATGCATGCATACATCCATACATACATCCATACACACAAACACACACATACACACATACATTCATACACATACATGCATGCATTCATGCACGCATACATCCATGCATCTACACATCACTCGTAACACCAACATGTCCCAAGTTCCGAGGGTCAACCAAACATGAAACCAACTGTTGGATCCTAGACTGTGCTCGCCCACTTGGGTGCTTTGTCTTGGGCGCCGCTCACATGGTTGTGAGCGGCTCGGCGGAAGGGAAGACGGCGAGCCCACAACCCAGCGCACTACTTCGGGCCGTGGGCTCCACGGCCTTTCCCGTTGCCACATATATATATATATGATTATATGATGCGTGCGGGCCCGAATTCTCGACAGCGATGCTGCTCGCAGGGGCGAGAGCGAGACACACGAAAACTTCGGGGGGGGCCTCTGAGGCTTCCGATCTGGCACTTTCCCGCGAGAAGACCACGGCACCCCAAATACAATTCCAGTCGATCGGAAAGTCGGCCAGCGCCCACATACGTATGTGTATGTGTATACACGCTAAGGAATCATTCGCGCGCGCTCTGTTGTTAAATACCTGTCCCTTACGTCTTGGAAGCAAGGGCAACGGCTGAACTGGAAGCGGTTGCTTTCCGCGAGCGGCCGTGGGCTTGTTATGACAGTGCTCTCATACCTTTCAGTTGTTCTGCGCAGGAGCGCGTTACAGATGTGTCCTCCTCCGCCTCCTCCTTTTTCTCCAAATCCTCCCCCTCCTTCTGCAATGCCGCCGTTTCTCAGATCCTTTCGTGTATGTATTTCTTCAATGTTGAATTCATTTGCGAATATCACCAGCCCTTGCGGGCGTGAATGGTTGAGCGAGGTGGTTATTCTCTTCCGTTTCTTCCGCTTCGGGGAGGGGGGCCCCGCTCTATCTCCTCCCCTCCCCTTGGGTCTGGACCCCTCCTGCGACGCGTCAGAGCGTCAAAGATTGCTCAACATCGCTCCACGTGGGGTCCAGGTAGCCCAAGTCCATGCTGTCGCGAGCCGTCCTCTTCCACTCTTTACCGCCCATCCCTCCTTCCCTCGCTCACTTGTCCTTGTCCTCCCATGGGTATGCTTTGCGAAAGCAGCTTTGGGACTTTCGGACATATGCGGTGCTCCTACGTTGCGTGGGCCTTGGGAGCGGCTTGAGAGCCTCTTGGGCCTCTTAGGAGGGAGATACGGCTCTAGCCCCCACTCCATCCTCACCCCGAGGGCTCCTCCTGAAAGCGCGACACGGTGATGCAGACGTTCAGCAGATTGGAGACGACCTCGCAGCCGCTGCGCCGTTCCAGCGCCGTGGGGCGAAGGATTCCGTTGCCTCCTCCTCCTCCCCCTCCTCATCCCTCCCCTACCCCCGTCCGCCCGCCTCCTCATCCTCCCGCCTCCTCCTCCACCTCCTCCTCCTCCGCCGCATCATCATCATCATCATCATCATCATCATCATCATCATCATCATCATCATCATCAACTTCATCATCATCATCATCATCATCATCATCATCATCATCATCATCATCATCATCATCATCATCATGATCATCATCAGCATCATCGCCATCATCCTCATCATCATCATCATAATCATCATCATCATCATCATCCTCATCCTCATCATCATATTAATCACCATCATCATCAGCATCATCATCACCATGACAATTTCCACCACCATCATCATCACTATCATCATCACCATCATCATCACCAGTGCCATGGCCAGCATCAGAGAGCATCAGCATCAGCATTGGCAGCGTGAACTTTGTTTGGAGGGAGAAGATCGGAGCGGACAACATGCCTCTGCAACCACAATCGCGACATTAATTCCAGCCACGGCAAGAGCTCGGTTAAAGCGCATCTTGATGAGACACACTGTGCGCGGTTATCAAGGTATCAACAACATAATCACTGCTGCTTACCATTCCTACCATCATGAGCATCAACATCATCAACAGCATCGTCATCAACATGATGATAAGCATCATCAACATCATCAGTATCATCATCACCACCACCATCATCATCAGCAACATCACCCTCACCCTCATCATAACCATAACCATCACAATCATCAGCATCATCATCATCAGCATCATCATTATCACCATCACCATTATCCTCTTCGACCTCATCCTCATCGTCCCTGTTACGCTGGAAGCGCGACCGAGGGACTAGTGCCAACCCCAAACGAACGCGCGGAGGTTCGCAAATTTATGCTTGCAAGTCTGCTCCTTCTTCGATCACCACCGCGAGAAGCCCTCGTTTAGCTCGTAAGAGACTGCGCCCAACACTTCGGTACAGCAGCCTGCTTCCTCGAGATCAACATCGGGGACAGCAGTCTCGGTGTCACCACCGGGTGGCCGCCCACGACAGCAACATAATGGAGGGGGTTGAGCGAGCGAAGGAAGGGGATCAACCTCGATGCGTTTCTGCGGGGTTCCCTGCACCGGCTCCCCCCCTCCCCTCCTCCTCCTCCTCCGCCTCCTCCTCGTCCTTCTCTTCCTCTGGTTGCCCCGGCGACACGCTATGTCTTGCAAGCGGACAGCGTGTCGCTCCGCTCCGCGGGGCGGGAGGCTGGGAAGAGCTCGGCGCCGTGGACGCCAGGGGACCGCGACGAGGACAGCACGTCGCGCCCAGGCGTGTCCCGACCGTTTGCATGGCCCTGGCCATGACATCAGGGCGCCCTCCTGGCCTGGGCAGGCACCACGGCGACAACGAAGACGACGGCGGCGGCAGCGGTCACGAAGACGGCGGCGATGGCCACGACGGCCGCCAACACCACGCGACGACCACGGGGACGGCGATCGCACCAGGCTAGGCCCGCCAAAACTCGCCACGCTGCCGCCGGCGCAGCACCCCCACTCCTCCAGCTTTCATCCACGGCGTCGCGTCTGGATGCCAAGGGCCAGCCTTCCAGGGCTCGACCAAAACAAGGCTTTTCGTGTTCGTGTGATGTTTGGTATCCCACGTGTATTTTCGGTTATTATCAAACAAATCATCACGGTGCCTGCCCATTCCGTGGTCTGTCCACAAGCGTGCCCATCAGAACTGTAGTAGCGAGGGCTGGCACAAAGGAAGGCGAATGTACCGCTCAGCCGTGGTGACAAGGATAATCGCAAGACTCAAAAGCACCTGCGTCCGCGGCGGGGTGACCCATTCTGTGTGGCCAACGAGGGTGCGTGCAGAGCACGTAAAGCCCCTCCACCCTCTATCCGACTGGAACCAAGCAGCCTGTCCACGCCCCATTCCAATAGCGTCCGGTTGGAGAATTCTTCAAACTGGCTGAAGAAAGCCAGCCCGACTAATACGTCTTTATAATGTGCATTCTCTTGACGGTTCCACTTTGGCGCTTTCAATTCTAACGAAGCCCGGCGCGTAACAGCCTTCAGTATTGCTCAGTGTCGTGTTGAAAAACATGGCGCTCAGACTCCTGCCTGACATCATTACTCGCAATGTGTCAAATATCACATGAATCAAAGGTCGGTCACGTTGGAGGAAAAGAACCTCCATGTCACTGAGAGCCGGGTTCCATATTTGAGCGGCGATACCGAGAGTTTCCAGTCATAGCGGGCAGGTCCTCGTAGAGCAAAACATTTCCCAGGGTACTCGTCGAGAACATAGCGCTCGCATGTGTCATTCGATTTTTGGAATTCCAGCGACTTGTCGGAATCATTGAAGAGAATGCTACCGTAGATCTCACCAGTATAGCAGGAGCGATGGCAATGTCATCCAATTGAATCCCCACTCCGATACATATTGCATGATACGTTGAGCCACTTGCTCAGATCTTCGCGAATGTGTCCTCCGAATTGTCGTGTGACTTCAGATATCAAGTTTGGCACTCCAGGGAAATGATTCAAATGATGTCCTTCAATGACGTTGTACGATGTGCAGTCTTCACACTCTTTCTGTATCCTTCTGGGGAGATGAGGCGAACATGCGATACGATCTCAATCAGAGCTCTCTGCACTAATTCATGTTGGGCGCATTGCACTGAAAGCCCGTGAGCTATACTTTGTATTACGGGCCAGGCATCGCCCCACATCGTCGTCCCCCACGGATGCCCATAGTACTCCTTGAACTCATCGATGGAATACGTCTCCCCGTCGTTTGCTAGCCGCATGGCTTCCGATCAGATGCCGACGGCAGTTTTGCGATGAAGCATTAGGGTAGTAGGTTCTTCACTACTCGACCGATGAAGCCCTACGTTAAAATAAACTCCATGGAACACTTGAGCCAAAGTGGCTGCGGATTTGTCGTTTTCCCCCGTTCTGTCTCCAGTCCGCACCTGCTGCAAAACGAAGCCGCGACGAAACGGCCCGCGACATCGCGAGAGAACACACCGCTCCGGTCGACCCCTGCAGCCTTTTCAGGCCCCGCTCGTTGCCGCGGTGCGGTGCGCGTGTCTTCGGCCCCGACCTGTCCAAGGTGTACCTTTTCCTGCACGTCCACTTCGGCACCGCCTGATCCCAGGGCTTCGCCCTCTCCCGGCCGCGTGAGGCCCCGCCTTCTTTCGCCCTTTCTCTGCTAATTAAAGCTGTGCGCGTCCCGCTTAGCTTTCAGCGGAAGAGGTTCGCTCTCGCCCTGCAGATCAAAAAGTCTTCGGCCCCGAAGGCCCGCATTAAACCGAATAACTGTGCGCCGTGCCAGCTCTCCAGGGCGAGGATCGGCGAGGCCATCGGAGACGCCGCCGCGGTAAGTACGGTGCACATGGGTCGTCCGTGGACCCAGGCGTGGTACAGTCAACCCGCATGGGTAAGGATGGGCAGCCTTTCCCAGGGTATACTTGCATCCTTGCCCGTGCGTCCCATCCTTAGCGACTTTCGTTGGCCAGCCTCGTTCGAAAAACATTGTCGTGGGCCTCCAAGGCCCTTGCATCCTTACCGCGCATCCTTATATCACGGGTCGACTGTGTCCGCTTACCCCCAGTCCTTGAGCAGGGACCGACCGTCCCGGCATTCCTATAGTCCTACCACGAACTGTTCTTAGAACCCAGAACTGCTCTAATAACAAAATCACTGTTCTTAGACCATAAACCCGATGTGAGGAAACACGACAGGCTCCGCCAGAAATGTTCTGAGAACATCCCGTGGAAACCACAAAAAGGTCCTTAGAACATTGTTTCGTGGGGCTATCTGGCCATCGCTCGGACGTCCGTTCCCTGTGCTTTGTGTCGGTTTCGTGCGCGCTTTTTCCCCAAATGATCAAGGATGATCCTCGATGGTCCTCGCCGAAGGAAAAATGCACACGTCCGAGCGATGCCTTCGCCACTGCTTGAAGTCCTCTGCCCCCTCCTGGACGCCTCCGACCAAGCTGCTCCCGGCGCGCGCGCGGCCCACCCGCCGAGGCCGACGGGGGGGCGGACGGGAGGCTCGGAGGAGGGAGGAGGAGGACGGAGGAGGGAGGAGGAGGGAGGGAGGAGGAGGAGGGAGGGAGGAGGAGGAGGAGAGGAGGAGGAGGAGGAGGGAGGGAGGCGGAGGGAGGAGGAGGAGGAGAGGAGGGGAGGAGGAGGGAGGGAGGAGGAGGAGGAGGAGGAGGAGGAGGAGGAGGAGGAGGAGAGGAGGAGGAGGAGGAGGAGGAGGAGGGAGGAGGAGGAGGAGGAGGAGGAGGAGGGAGGAGGAGGAGGGAGGAGGAGGAGGGAGGGAGGAGGAGGAGGAGGAGGAGGAGGAGGAGGAGGAGGAGGAGGGCAAGCCGAGGCCACGGCGGCCCACGAGGACCAGCCTCGAGCTGGCCCCTGAGAAGACGAAGCCAGGGCGAGGATATGCAATCGGGTCAGGCTACTTATGTTGCATCCTCGGGGGACCTTGTCTGTCCCGTTCGATCTCTGGGCTCCGCCCCCTCCTGGACGCCCCCGACCCAAGCTGCTCCCAGCGCGCGCCCGGCCCACCCGCCGAGGCCGGCGGGGGGCGGACGGGAGGCTCGGAGGAGGGAGGCAACCGGCGAAGCCAGGGCGAGGATGCAACCGGGTGAGGATCCTTCTGTTGCATCCTCGGGGGACCTTGTCTGTCCCGTCGCGGCACTGTCCGCGCCGAACCTGCGTCGAATCCGTGTCGGCCTCGTCGGATCCGTGTCGAATCCGTGTCGAAACCGCGTTGAGTACATGCCAACTCCGCGTCGAGGCTGCATCGAGCCCGCGCCGGGCACAAGAAAAGACACCAATTTTGGGGACAGGCGAGGTCCCCCGAAGATGCAACAGAAGGATACATCGAGCATCTCTCAAAAATCCAGCGGCTCTGGAGGATGCCTCTCGGGCGCCGCGATGCCCGAGCGCTCCGGAACGCTCTGGGAGCGCTCCGGCACGCTCGGTAACGAATCCGTCCTTGTCCCAGCCCCGTCCCCACGAGTCCCTATCCCCACGAATCCCTATCCCTATCCCTATCCCACGTCCCCATCCTGTAACGCATCCCTATCCCCACGAATGACAAAGCAAAAGGCGATGACCATCTCAGCGATGTGCCCTCCGGACCTGAGGGACCCACTGAGACCAGCCTCCCGATGAGGCGATGCCAGCCACAGGGATGGGGACCTGCTCCAAGCTGGTAACAAGGTCGATCACAAGACCACCGTCGTCTCTCCATTAGACCTGCTCTGGGGGAAACCAAAACGAATCAACCGTCACTCCCCGGACCTCTCCCGAGGTGCGTTCTGACCAGGATTTTGAAGCGAATCCCGTGGTGGCGACGAGGGCCTCCCAGGGGCCCCCAACATCGAAAACAAGGGATGTCTGGCTACTTCCTCCTCCCCCTCCTTCGCCTCCTCCTCCTCCTCGTCATCATCATCATCCTCATCATCCTCATCACCCTCATCATCCTCATCATCCTCATCATCATCATCATCATCATCATCATCATCATCATCATCACCATCACCATCACCATCACCATCACCACCATCCTCACCATCCTCACCATCATCATCATCATCATCATCATCATCATCATCATCATCACCACCACCACCACCACCATCATCATCATCATCATCATCACCACCACCACCACCACCATCATCATCATCATCATCATCATCATGAGTGTGGCCGGAAGGGCACATTCTTTGCAGCAGACGCAGCACGGCTTGCTCTGACGATTTAAAGAGGCTTTAAATCACACGATTGCGCAATCTGCGGACCTTGTCCGTTTCAAGACACACCGTGGAGAGAGGGTGGGAAAAGGGCGGGACACACAAGAGAGACCTGGAGCCACAACGGTTGCGGAAGGCACGCTTCACAGCCCCCCTCCTGGCACCCACTACCCTGTACACAGATCCATGAGTGTGGGCGGAGGGGCACAGTCGTTGCAGCAGACGCAGCACGGCTTGCTCTGACGATTTAAAGGGGCTTTAAATCACACGATTGCACAATCTGCGGACCTTGTCCGTTTCAAGACACACCCTTACCCATATCATGTCCTGGGCGGGTGGGTGGGGCACCAACGACTCAGAAGTTGGCCTATGTGTAGACAAAACTGGGAAGGGTAAGCAGACGCGACCTTGGACCACAGCTGTTTGTTGTCCGGAGTGCGTCCTGCGATCTCAGTGTGAGGCTGGCCAGAGAACGAACAGTGCCCTCCCCTCCCCGCGCAACGGGCCCCAGCGAGCTCCTCGAGAGGCAGGTGGGAGAACAACAGGGTCGTGCGCTTTCTCTACGGTGTGCCGAAAGCATAGTAGTCTATCTGGACAGACTTATACTTATCTAGCAAGCGTTTAAACCCAGGGAGCCCCCACAACATGCTTGAGGCGGGATTCTCGATCACGCAAGGCACGCCAAGACACGAAAGGGTGTCGAAAAGTTTGGCGGCCCATTTAGCTTGTTTGTTGCCCTCCTGGACCTTCCGAAAATCACTGGGGGGAAGGTCGGGGAGGCCAAGTAGGTGCTCACGGTCCCGAATTGGTGTTGGCCAGCCTTTTTTGCCCGACCGGTTCCGCCTAGCGCGGGACCAGGACGTGCACACAAGGCCAATCCAGCACATAGCAAGAACATTATGGGAGGCAGCTTCTGGCAAGCGCCTCGAGACATCTCTATGCAAGCAGTCCTCCAGCGGGGAATCGGCCAACTCCCAGCTGCGTGTGAAGAAGCCCACACTCTTGCAGGCAGTGCTTATGCCGCGACTGCCTGCCATCAGCTCTGCCACGACCCAGCCTGGCCGAGGGACAGTCGGGGCGAGGACGAGGCCGCCACGCGGGCCCCAGTCACCCCAGGCCGAAAAAGAGCGGGCACGATTCACTTGGGGATGGTCTCTGCGGCGACGGTCCGCTCGAACAACGACCCCATCACCTCGAACATCTGGCGGCCGAAGTCCCTCGAGGCAGGGGTCATGGCATTGAGGAGTTGGTGCACGGCTCCGGGCTTCCCGTACCTGTTCAGGGACGAGTCTGTCCTCCAATGCCCCCGAGCCTTCACGGTCTTCCGATCCCGCCGGCCTGACAAGATGTCGCCCGACGCTCCCCCGTGTCGCAGCTGGTAGAGACAGACCCGGGGGAGGCCGCACTTCCTGGCCGCGACTCCGAACTGGGCCGCCACGAACGCGCCGGGGGTGGGGAAGATCAGGTCGGTCGGCGCCCTCCCGCGAACGTGAGCTGCCAGGCACTCGCCGAGCCAGGCTGGGTGGTCGATGATCACGGTCTCGTCCGAGGTACCTGTCTTGGCGAGCTCTCGATGGGAGCCCCTCGGATCGCCTGGCGCGCCCGCATCCATCTGGGTCGGGGCGAGGATCAGGCTCCAGCACTGCATCTGTCCCGAGGCCCTCGAGGGGGCCAGCAGCTGCCGTACTTGTAGCTTCCGAAGGGCTCCTGGGCGGATGTAGGTGAAGAAGGTCGACGCCACCTGGAGCGCACAGTCCCTCTGCCCCCGCGCCAGCATCTCGGACGCGGCAGCACCGAGGAGTTCCCGAGGCACGGGGGCTCGAGAGGCAGGGGGCCTGCGCTCGGCGTAGCCTCGAAGCCCTCGGTTCACACGCGGCATCGACTGAGAGCCTGTGCACCACGGGTGGGTAGGCGTCCTTGACAGCCGCGACCAGGATGGTCGCGTCGGTTCGGGTGCACTCCGCCTCCAGCATGAGGTCGAGGAACTGCAGCACCCGAACCTCCATGTCCTCGACGGTCGACGGCACCCCCCCCTCCTCGGCGAGGAACACCTGAAACGCATCGGAGTACGCCCTGTAGCCGACGCGCGTCGCGTCGGCCGCCGCGGCCAGCTCGCACCTGGAGAGCGCCATGGCCGAGGCGGGGCTGCTCCGGTTGGGCTCCAGGGCCTTGGCCAGCTGGGCGTGCAGCTGGGGCGGCGGCACCGGGGCGTGCGCCGCTGGCCGCGCCCGCGCCGCGCGGGGGGCGGCACTGGCGGCGGGCTTGCGGCGTGCCGCTGGCCTCTTGGCCGGGGCCGCCCTGCCCACCAGGCCGCTCGGCCTGCGCGCCAGCCCCTCGGCCACTGCGGCGGTCGCCAGGCGGCGCCTCTTGGGCCTTGGCCCCACGGTCGCCACGGGCAGGCGGCCCGGGCTGCTCTGCGGCCCCTCCACGAAGGTGCCGCGCCCAGCCGCGCTCAGCGGGCCCAGCATGTACCAGCGAGAGGCCCTCGAACGTCCTCGAGGCTTCGTCGGCTGGCTGCCATTCCGACGGGATCCACCAGAAGTGCGGCCCGATGTTGGTGGCCAGGGTTAGAGCCGCAAGGCGACGGTTGAATTGTAACATGCAGTATGACGGCGATCGGCCCCTATCGAAACAGCAGCAGACGCCGAAATTGTCGAGCAGGAAAAAGTGACGATGATGATGGTGCGAAGGGTCCTTGGCGAGACGACGTAGAGCCCATAGCATAGCCCTCCCCTCCTTCAGCCCGATGTGTTCGATGTAGCGATACGGCCCCTTGTAGACCACCCTCCACCCCTCTTTATGTAGTACATGACGAGGGACCTCGGGGAACCCCGCGACTTTGGCCCACCCATCGATGACATTGTTGGTGAGGACGGTCGCAGGATCGGTGATCTCAGGGAAATCATCGAGGGCTCTCCTTCGGGGGGCCCACTCTTCGGGTTGGAGACGTTTGAACCTCCACTTCTCATGCCACCTTCCAAGCTCAGAGACTTCCGAGATATCCAATTTCTTCTCACACACTCCGAACCCCGTCGTGGAGGCGTCGGTGGCCGTCACGGTCGACGACCAAGGCCTGTCTAGCTGGCCCCCCAGCAGCGCTGCAACGGCGGAAAAATCCACGCCTCGTAACGGCAAGAGCGCCAGAGTCGACAAGGCCGCATGTAACGATCACGGATACAATCATATAGAGCACGAGGGGCAGACATCCCTGCTCGGTTGAAAGCGCTGCGGCGACACAGTGTCCGACCACCACCTCAACTTGACGGCCAGTCACGATGGGGCCGCTTGCTAGCCACTGCAGCGCACCTCTGAGCAACCACAGCATCTGCCCGGCGCGCCTGGTCACGGGCGGATGGTTCCCCACGTCGGCGCCCAGGATGGTCGAGTGCACGCTGGTCTCTGAGATCTCGTGCATGCTGAAGCCCTCCTCGGAGAAGCGGGCCACGACACGATCCCTCAGCTCGGTGACCTCCTCAGCCCTCACCCCCAGCACGTTGATGTTGTCTGAGTAGGGCAACTCCACGGGGCCTGAAGTCAAGGACGGCAGCGGCCAGGCTCCCAAGGCGATCCTGTCGTCGGGGACCGCTGCGCGGCGCAGCATCTCCAGGTGGATACGCTGCACCAGCCAGAAGCTCCAGCTCCAACCCATGGGAAGCACAACAAGGCAAGGGTGAACCCTCTCACGCCCGGTGACCTCCTGGCCGCACACGCCCGCGATCAGGCCGAGCTCGAGGGCCACCTCGACGGGCACCGAGGGCAAGCAGAAATAGTTACTCAACCTCCCGATGCCGCCGCACTGGTAGAAGCAGGCCTCGATGTCAGCCGAGGCAGCGTACAACTCCTGGCCGGGCTCCAGCTCATCCGCGCCCATCGCCTCGGAGCCCCCAGTCTCGACGGCGGGGGCGTGGGCGAAGAGAGCGTTGGTGAGCCGGCAGTCCAGCACGAGCCTCTGCTTCCCATTCTTCTTGGCCACGAAGAAGGGGGTCACAAGACTCAGCGACTCCGACGCCACTCCAAGTAGTCGTCGATCCATCAGGCGCCGGAGAAAGTCCACATAAGCCTTCTTGTCAGCCCGCAAGGTGACGTCGAAAGTAGGGGCGCGAAGGCGTGCGGCCCCTACGCTCGGAGACGACATCGGGGCTCGCGAGGATGAGGTCTTCGAAGTTAGTCAGCACCTTCCGAGCCTGCTCGTCCCGCACCCTCGCCGTGCCCACCGGGTCCCGCCCGGCGGGGGGGAGAGATAGCCGTTCAGCGTCGTATGGTTGCACTGCACTGCCATCACCTCCATAATCGATACGAGGTCCCAGAAGCTGAGCCGCAGCTTCATGGGGTAGAAGTTGGTCAAAATTATGCCGGGCCTCCCTGGCGGTGCGCAGCGGGCGTCGATGCACCGAGGACTGCGCTGGGCTCGCCGGCCCGACCGCGTCGCGCTCACAACCGTAGAGGGCATTGAGCGCGGCCGCCATGTCATTTGCATCGTCTAGGGCCAGCCGGCGATAGGTGCTGCGGCGGCGGGCCGTCCTGGACGCCCCGACGCCCTCCCACGTCAACCCCTCTGAGCCGACGGAGGGTAGAGGAAAAAGTTCATGCGGTCCACCTGGAGGGCGCGGGCCAACATCTTCTGGCGGCGGAGCGTCACGGCGTTGCGCATCTCCCCACCGCCAGCGGTCTCTGCGTGCCTGGCTGGCGTGAACGACGGGAGGGGGGTCGCCAGAGAGGATCATGTCCATCCCCCCTTCCCATGGCCGAGGCGGTCATGACGCCGGCGGCGGGCCCTTCTTCCGGGCCGCCGCCGACTTTGCCTCCGCCTTGGCCTCTCGAGCCTTCCTCTTCTCCTTCTCGATCGCGTACTCCTTCGACATCTCGGACGCCACGTGCGCCCGGAGGGCGGGCGTCACTGTGACGCCTGCGCCCTCCTCATCGTCGCCCATGTAGATGTGCGAGCCCTCGAACGCCGGCTTCTCAGGATCATCTCGGTGGGCCGTCTCGAGCAACATCCGGCGTCGATTCAGAAACGCACAGCACGACAAGTTCGCGATGTTGAGCCCGTCCGACTCCATCGCGAAGGTGAGGGCACGGCACAGGACTCGGTGTTCATGGCCCGACCGCGACCGTGCAGGCACTCTCGACTCCATCAACCACCGATCGTGGGCTGCAGTGAAACCCCCGAGGGAGCGCAGGTACATCTCGTTCACCGAGTCCTGCAGCGTCCCAGGACCCTTGGTCCGCAGAGGCACACTGGGATCCCGCACGACCAGGGCAGCATCCGCGGCAAAGGCCACGGGAGTCGGGGAGCACGGCCGTGGCAGCAGGCGTGGGTCGCCCATCAGCAGCATCTGCTGGCGACTCAGGCCCCAGGCGGAGAGGTCTGTGCCCGGCGCGACCCTGGAGAGCGACACGATCTCTCCGTTCACGGTAACGAAGGCCCGGCCCCCCACGTCCAGCGCCGTCGGCGGCAGCGGCACCTCCTGCCCCAGTACGAAGGTGTCCACGGGCTCGTCCAGCACCCACGCCCCCGCAGGCCCCGCCAGGCAGGGCGGGGGCGGCGCTGCGGCCACGCCGGGGGCGGGCGGCACCGCCACGGGCAGCGGCGTCGGGACGGTCACAGGGGCCACCCCCTCCCGGGCCAGCGCGGGCCGCGGCTCCAGGCGGCGCGGCCAGCCCGCGCGAGGCCCTCTCGACCTGCGCGTGGCGCTCGCCCTCGGCGAGGAGCTGCGTCAAGTCCGCGCCAGCTGGACGCACCTGGAAGCGGTAGACCTGCATGCCGGCCATCCCGAAGGGAAGACGACCATCCGAACTGCCCAGCCGTAGCCCTTGCAAATCGGCGTTGGCTGCATCGATCTGTTCAATAAAGATGTCCAGGTCAGGAGAAACAACTACCTACTCGCTCGCAGACGCCCAGCACAGGATGATACGCTCGTGATACAGGTCATCCCCAACATAGCACAGAAAGGCTGACGAGCCAGACTCCAGGAAGGCCATCCTAGGCCTGCACGACGACGCCGAGCTTGCCCTTGCCCTTCACGGGCCCTGCAGGGGACCCGTCGGCGATCGGTGTGACGATGGGGCCTGGCGTCTCGACGAAACCCCCACTGCGCGGCGTCCAGGACTCGGCAGTCACACGCCGCGTCGGCAGGCCCGAGCCTGCCCAGCAAGTGGTGAACACCGCGCCCACGATCAGCCCCACCAGCCCCGCAAGCAGCACGTCGCCTATCCCCCAGCCCGGCAGCGGGCAGACGGGGCAGACCGCACAGACAGGAGCGAGGTCCGACGGCCCGCACCTGTTGAGCTGCGTCTGCAGCAGCTCGATCAGCCCAGGCTCCGCCGCCGAGCCCGTACAGTGGCAATGCAGGGGCTGCGGCGCCACCCAATGGCCGAGCCAGGTGCCGATCACGTTGGTGACTACACCGTGGATATATGCCGTAAGGAGACTCATACACACAAGAGAGACCTGGAGCCACAACGGTTGCGGAAGGCACGCTTCACAGCCCCCCTCCTGGCACTCACTACCCTGTACACAGGTCCATCATCATCATCATCATCATCATCATCATCATCATCATCATCATCATCATCATCATCATCATCATCATCATCATCATCATCATCATCATCATCATCATCATTATCATCATATCCCTCCTCCTCCTCCTCCTCCTCCCTCTCCTCCTCCTCTTCCTCATCCTCCCTTCCTCCTCTGAGCTCTGAAGTCGCCTACACGCGAGTGGCCCTGGACAGGCGCGGCTTCCGCGTGGGGGGGGGGATGGCCAGAGTCAAGCGCGCATGGGCCTGTGCTGGGGCCGCCCCTTTGCGGGCCCGCCGCACCAGAGGGCACCGATCGGTGCACAGTTTCCCCCAGGGCCGTAGGCGACCCGAGGATGAGGAGGAGGAGGAGGAGGAGGAGGAGGAGGAGGAGGAGGAGGAGGAGGGGGAGGAGGAGGAGGAGGGGGAGGAGGGGGAGGAGGAGGAGGAGGAGGAGGAGGAGGAGGAGGAGGAGGAGGCGATCGATCGATCGGGGGGCGAATTGCTCCCCAGACGAGCAGCGCATGCCGCACGCCTCCACGGAGAACCGAAGATCTGATTCTCTTCCACCCGGCGGCGTTTCCTAGATGCCGGTCCCCGGGACAGGGCCCGTTGTCAGGCCCGGGCATCTGGGGGCCATCAAACAAGGATCCGCGACGAAACACCGCCCCCTGGGAAGGGGTCAGGACCTCTGGGGCGCGGATTGAAGAGAACATATCGGCGAATGCATGGGTCATGTTGGAGGCCTGGAAATTGGCACCAACACCAGCTCAGGGGTTTGCCTCCACAGGGAGATGATGATATTAGATTTCGGTGTTGGTGGTAATATTTCGGTCACCTGGGAAGCCAGAATATTGAAACCATCACCGAGATCGGGATCGTCTTCCCTCGGTGGAGGCACACCGCCGATCTTGGTGTTGGTGTCAATCTCTAGGACTGCGATCATGCACGCTTCTGTGAAGGTCCTGAACGCGTTGCATCCAGCCGTGGCAGCGGGGGGCCCCCGCAAAAGGCCAACTGCCGCGGTCTCAAGTCACCCTCCTCTGATCGTCGTCGCCGTCGACGCCGCCGAAGCTGCCGTCGGAATTTGGCTCAAAACTCGGCTCCCTGGCGGTCGTTCGGGACGGTCCAGGTACCCCCGGAACGCGCTCGGCGAGGCGCAGCCGCTGGAGGGCACCCCGAGGCTTGAAAGCCGCCGAGCCCAGGTTGAACGCGCAAGCTTAACCTCGGAGCCCGAACCCGAAACACCCTCGAAGCTCGAATCCTGTCTCGAGCCGCCCTCCTCTGAGAGGCGGCCCCTCTTCGGGATGCGCCGAGCGGCCCCTTTGCTGGCATTAAGTCGGGCCTGTCCCCCCACAGGGCGATTTTCGACGAAAAATAAAAAAAACTAAAACAATACTCCAACATAGTCCCAAAAATATTCAAAAAATAGCCCCCAGACTACTTTTTGACTACTTTTGAGTATTCCTCCTGTAGAGGCACAGGCCCGAAGTCATGCTGGCAGGGGGGGGGGAGGGCACGCGCGGTGGCGGGCGCCTGTGCCGCCCAGGCGGCGGCAGCCGAGGCATCCGACGCCCGGCGGGCCCGCCTGCGGACCGCCGCCGCTGCACCCCGCACGCCAGGTGCCTCCGGAGCCCTCCGCGGCGAGGCCGGCCGTCCGGGCGCGCCTCGAGGCCTCGCCCGCGAGGACGTCGGCGGCATCGGTTCCTCTGGCCACGCCGTGGCCACGGCATGGCCACGGCATGGCCACGGCCAGCCGCTTGCCCCACGTGCTCCTCGGCCCGCGCGCGCGGCGTGGCCCCCTCAGGCGCGCGCGGCGCAGGCCAGGAACCACGCCGCGTTCGCCGTGATGACGCCGAGGAGCGGGCGGCTGCCGCGGCCGCCGAAGCGGAGGGCGCCGGCAGGGCTCGGGGGCTGCGCCCGCTCGGCGATGCACAGACCGTCGCCGTCATCGTCGTCGTCGTAGTCGTCGTCGTCGTGCTGCTCGCGGTCTGGCCCGGGAGGGGGGGAGAACGTGTGCTTCTGGTGCCTGACGTCGTCGTCGTCGTCGTCGTGCTCCTCGCGGTCTGGCCCCAGGAGGGGGGGAGAACGCGTGCTTCTGGTGCCTGAGGTCGCTTGCGCGCTCTCGACACGGCGTACCGGGAAGCAGGAACACACACACACACACACACACGCACACACACACACACACACACACACACACACACACACACGCACACACGCACACACGCACACACGCACACACACATACAAACACACGCACACACCAACACACACGCACACACATACAAACACACATGGCTGGATCCACGTGTGGCACATGCGGAGCCCCTTTGCTGGATACGCACGCGGAGGACTTTCGTGCCCGGCCACGCGAGGGCCGAGCGCTTGAGAGACATGTCGCCGCATGTATATCTAGCTCTCGCCAGGGCCAACCGCGGCATGTGTATGCAGCTTCCTGGCAGACTCTCTGCGAGTGAGGCCTCCTCCCTGTTTCCTCCTCTGCGGCGGCCCTCCTCCTCCTCCTCCTCCTCCTCCTCCTCCTCTTCTTACCATCTGTCTTCATGTGCCCATAGCGCGGCGCGTCTCGCCGGTTTCAGGGCTGCGCTCGCTCGGTGACCCTCAGCACGTGGGCTCGCGCGGGGTGAGGAGGAGGAGGAGGAGGAGGAGGAGGAGGAGGAGGAGGAGGAGGAGGAGGATCTATGCTGGAACATTTTTAGAGCCTGGGAGGTCGACTGAGGCCTGGGTGCTGGGGCCGCTCGGCGTGCGCAAGAAGTGCACGCAGCAGTGCCTCTGCGCTGAAGCTTCTGAGCATGCTTAAACGACGGTACTCCAGATTTCGTAATAAAAGGGAGGGGGTCACAACGCTCCCAGACGAGAAGCTTCAGACCCCCCAGGCTATCCATCAAAGGGGGGCCCTTTGCCCAGACCCCCCCCAAACCCTCCAAGACAGCCTAAATTAGACCCCCCCGAATGTGACCCCCCCCCACTTTGTTATGGAATCCGGAGTAGTTTGTTCGTTTGGGGTATGGCCGTTTTCGGAACGTATGGTCGTTTTGGGCAAGCATAAACGAATCCAGGGTGGCGGCGCTTCAGGGAGAAGTATCTGAAAGCCAATGGTCGCGGCAACGTCCTCCGAAGACACTGCGTTGTCTGAGCTGGCCGCCGCTCTCCCCTCCCCTCCTCCCGCCGCAGCCTGCTGACTCTTCTCAATCTCTCTCGCCGTGCCTGGTTCGCCGTGAAGAGGCCCTGGGCTTAGGTCTGGCATGTCCTCCTACAGGCGGATTTGGGAGGAGAAATGAAACATAGCCCCAACAAGTGTGTGTGTGTATATATATATATGTATATATGAACAAATCTCCCAGGCCTAGAGGTTCACACCAACACCAAGATCGGAGGTGTGCCTCCACCGAAGGAAGACGATCCCGATCTCGACGATGGTGGTAATATTCTGGCTTCCAAAGTGACCGAAGTATTACCACCAGCACCGAAATCGAGGATCATCCTACCCATGTGGAGGCAACCCCCTGTGCTGGTGTCGGTGCCCAGCTCCAGGCCTCCAAGAGTAGTCGCACATTGTCTGGACTGTTTGGGGATATTGTTGGATATTGACAGACCAAAACCAGGGTCACAACTATTCTTTTACTTTTTGTTCCAGGGTCAAAACGACATCCCCAGACTACTTTTTGACTTTTTCTGAATCCCCCTCCTGAGTGGAGGTGCGCGCCCGACTGAACCGTCCAGCGGCTCTGGGCTGCCCGCCGAGCCGCAAGGTGCCCCGGGCGCGCGAGACGGCAGCACAGCGCGCGAGAGCGGCAGCTTGCTCTCACGCACGGGCGCCCTGTTTTTCAAACTCCAGACCCCCGACATCGTGGTTTTTCCGTGGCGTCGACCCCCCTGTCTCTCTCTCTCTCTCTCTCCCGCCTCCCTCCTCTTCCCTCGTGCGCCCCTCCTCGCCGTCGCCGTCCGTGGC